GGAAGGCGGAGTAGGAGAAAAAGTGTATTCTGTATAGAAGGATTGCAGAATAGTTAGGCGAAAGTTTTGACCGTCGGAGCGCGCGTTCAGCCGTGAGGGGGGCTAGGCCCGAAGTGACGCCTGTCGGCAGTCACATCACTGAGGTCCGTGTCCAGACGGATTAAGGCCAACCTAGTAAATGAGGCTAGTCTACTAACACGGGAATATCATGGGACGGATTGAGGTCAAGCCACCATGGATTGAGGCCAGATCGGATGAGGCAGGGTGCGCAAGTTTGCGCCTGGTCCCAGAGGCACGACATCAACAGCATGGGGGCGCGCCCAATCCTTGCATTCAAAAGGCGCGATTAGTCAGCGTGCGGCTAATCATGGGTTCCAAGTAACGCTATCGACCGCTAAAATCTCACCTCGTACGCTCTTCCATAACGCATGCGTGCGCCACTGGGGGACACGATCTGCTCGTAGTAAAATGCAATTTTTGTCTTACGTTCAGAAGTTAAGAGAACTATAGACTTTGATGACTAACTTTTCAGGACATTCACCAAAATGTCTACAACACAGCATTTCTCCTTTGGTGGATGGTTTTCCTTTTATCGTATGGGACTGGCTGATGATGGCTAATGGCCATTTCAATCTCCCTTGTCTTTGTTGGCAATGTTTTCCTGCCCCGGTGATTAAAAATCTGCGCGATAGGTGCGTGCGTTTTCTGTACCAGCTGGTAGTCAGGGGTTAAGCTTAGGTGAATGAAGGCAAATGGACTCGAGACAGTCCTATATCAGTGTACCCCACACTCTGTCGCCTGACGAGGGGTTGTCTGTTCTTGACACCTACCACTCGTACGAGGCTTGTTTGCTTCGGAAAGGCCGTGGATCGATATACGACGAGACCCGGCCACACATTAAAATCGGGTGAGCCGAGAATTACTTGAGTCATGGTTCACGGGCCTCCCATCCATAAACAAGTGCAACAAATTGCCCAATCCATATTCGGTGCTGCGACTCAATTTGGCCAAAGGAAGTCGCCACTTGGGGAACGGAAAGACCACCGCGTCATCTTACCCCACACTGAACGGCCAGATGGCCGAGCAATCATCACACCTGAGTCCACCACAGGTGATGAAAGTTCAGCAGGTTAGAGCCCGCATGCTGTTCAACGAACCATCAACACGCAAGAAGGCATTTAGCGTTAATTGTCGTTGCATGTTTGCAGTAATGACTGTACCCTATATATTCTGCAAACGCCTGTGCATATGCTACCCCGTATCTGGTACTGCTTTCTGCTTATGCCTCAGATGATAAATCCGCGGCGGATCTCTAGACGTCAGGCGAATAAAAGTATCGTCCCAGCGATCGAGTCTTCTTCTTCTCATTTACTTCCTGGGACTCGCATGTTCGCTTGTATTGGCAATACGTTTATTCCCAAGTTAATAAATACTGGCGATCTACAGCGATCGATAAAGGCATTAATGAAAGTCGTTAAGATGAAGTGCTTCTCACTCATATGTGAGGCCCCGATGGTGGGACATTTGCGCCATGTGTATGTGGGCATGTTTGTGTTTCCGGTCCCAACTGGTAGTCAGAGTTTTGATTGGCTGAACAGTTCTTTATTAATCTGCCCTCAGTCTGTCGTCATCTCTCTGATATATGCATAAATGCCACTGGTTTCACCATGCTCCAGACCTATGTATTAGCTCAAAGCCCAGCCACGTGTTTCGCCAGTATTTATTTTGTGGCATGACGCAATTGCGAGAGGTTGGACTTTTCAGTGGGTACGCTTGCAAATTATTAAGAGAAGGGCTTGGAGTTAAATGCCCGAGACGGTACTTTTAGCGTAATTCCTTTCACTTTTACCTAATGACTGTGTAACGCCCATTCTACCAACAACTTGATTGAGCTCGAGTCAAATGTTCATTACAGTTTTGCTGATAAACCTAAAGTGGTGTGAACCGGAAAATCGGCATCCCAAGAAGTATAATTCGGTAGAAGTTCTTTGGGAAACAGTGGTTTATTGTGTAAATTTTCGACACTGGTACACCAGGTCGTCGTCAGACGGATGGACATTGTACGAAACAGTTAATTAAAAATGATGGCTAACAGAAACTTATATAGTGGGTAAGGTACTCCGCGCAATCAGGTTGTACACCCTAAGGATAGGTTTGGCTATCTGAACAGAAAAGAGATCATTTACAAGATCCCTTGTAGCGGTTGCAATGCAGTTTATTGCGGACAGACAGGACGATCAACCTCCACACACTTACGAGAACATCAACGAGCGGTAAAGGAGCGATATCACTTGTCCGAAGTCGCCATGCACACATTAGAAACTGGACACCAATGTTGTCCGAGGTCGCCATGCACACAGTAGAAACTGAACACCAATTTGCATGGGACGAAACCTACATTGTTGGCTCATGTCCATACAAGAAAGGCCGCGAGTTTTTAGAAGCCACCAACTCCGACGACTCGTGCACCAACAGGCACGCCAAACTGGACGCGATGTACACCAACCTCAGGGAAGCATGGAGGAGACGACAGCCTATCTGGACTAGAGGAAGCGAAAACCAGTCACCACCGACCGCAAAATTAATTGCGGTCGACAATAAGTTCCCGACCGACCGACCACATAATTACATGCGGGTGACAACTATTTTCCACACTGACCGTACAATCACATGCGCGTGACGATTATGAACCATTACTTTACTCACTATATAAGCTTCTGTTAGCCATCATTTTATATTAACTGTTTCGCACAATTTCCATCCGTCTGACGACGACCTGGTGTGCGAGTTTCGAAAATTGACATAATAAACCACTGTTTCCCAAAGAACTCCTTCTAGCGAACTAAAGTGGTGTGTTTCGGAAGCATAAATCCACTCTGCAACAAGTTACGAAATCATTGACTGTTCCTTGTTAGACAAGCCATGCAGAACACCGATGAGATAAGCTTCCCTGTAGTCAATATTAAGTCCCCTATTTCAGACTCAGACTTGTACTCATTGATAACGGCTTTTCAGCTTAAAATACCTACCTGATTAAAGGAGAAGGCTGTTTAAGCGCCGAAACAATTTGTTTACTGTTCTGAACTTTCAACCTCGTACAGAAGTTCATCGCCAGAGATAACATCAGCCAATAAATACGAAAATTACACGAGTGCAAACCAATCAACGATCAGTGATGCATATCTGGAGATGACTATGCAGGTCTCTGTACGCCGCCGCCAAATCGATTACTTGAGTTCCTATTCGTAGACCAGGCTCGAAGCAATTATCGGTTCGTCTTGCTTCTGGCGTGGGCGATAATCTTGACGGCTGCAAAGTTGAACTCATGGCCCGTTTCATGGATGTGAGCAGCATCTTGCAATCATTCTTGCCCTCGTCACACAGCCAGATTATTTTAATGCATGGGGCATCCGTTCCTACGTTTAGTTTGATCTGTGCAATTACAGGGATAGCTTCAGCATGGAATGTGATACACTAACCCGGATTGCCCATTGAGATTAACCCGGTTTTTGATGTTCATCTCTCTGCTGCGCATGGTAGTTTTAGGTCGATGTACAATTCTAACAGCTAGTCTTGCAGCGATGCGCTTAGACGCCTTTGAGATCTCTCTGATGTACGGCAGAAAGTGTCATATCCTCGGTTGTGTTCCTTTTTGAGTCCTTCGAGGCCCAACACGTGGGCATCGCCTTGAAAACGCCTTTGAATACCCGTTCCGCATAGATTGGTCACGGAGATATGGGAGTTCGCGTATCTTTTCCTCCGGCCTACTGCAGTGAGTCTGAACCCGTTTGAAGTGCGTTCTCGCATCGCATT